ACGACGACTGCTACTACGACTACGACTACTGCTGCTGCTGACACTGCCACTGCCACTAGTGCTACTAGTTCTACCACCACCACATGTAGTATTGCTATTACCACTACTTGTACCGCTGTTACTACTGCTTAGTCTTGCCACTATTCCCACGACCGTTGCCTCTACGACAGCTTGTGTTGTGCTGCCATTAGTCCTGGTCTTGGAGCTGTTATGGGTGTGACTATATACATACGGGCATTCCTGCTGAATTATCACAGTGGCTTCAAACGGTGGGGATGTTGAGGATCAGGGATGACAAGGCTTGAAGCGATACCCCCGCAAATATGACCAAACCCTACAACGCCAGCAGGCTCCAAGGGTTTCTGCGCCGCCATCGAGGTGATATGTTCTGCCGCACCGAGATGGTTCCTTCTGTGGATGGTGATGAACCTTGAAGTGAATCGAGAGGGTGTGGATGTCTGTGACGACGTTCGGGATGTCGGCTTCGGAGCTGGAGTTGTCACTTCTATGGTTGCCTGATATGGGGACGCTTCAATGACTGGCACCAACATGATTCCTCATACCAGTTTTGCACAGTCCTTAATTAAGTCCGATAGCCTTACTACTGTTGAAGTCATTGAGGTTTTCTGCCGTCGAACCGGGTGCCTGCTTGGTGGAGGAAAACATGCGCAAGGATAGTAACAGTCAGTTCATTTACATCATCTTCATGATGTTTGTAAGCGTTTCTATTGGTAGATTGTGCAAGGAATTATTCTTGCTACGTTGTGCTCACTTAGTTCACATGCCACAACATGACAGCACGTCTGAAGCGACCTGCTTGTTGTTGCTTTATGCTGTGCTCCTCGCTCTCTCTCTCGCCCACTCTCTCTCTCTCTCTCTACGTCTCTCTCCCTCTGTGTTTTTGCTTGTTTGCGTGTGTGTGTGTGTGTACATGTCACTTTATAGTTGCATGTATGCACAGTCATAGATCCGCTCTTGCAGGTTCAGGGGTGTGTGTGTGTGTGTGTGCTAATTGAGCATTTTGTGCAGCCCACACTCGTTTGGAGTCCAGCACGCTTGGCCTCAAGGAAATTTTCATGAAGATCGGAATGGACGGAGGCGACAACTTCGCCGCCATTGCAGAGAGGGTCGAGGTGGGACTGCCGAAGAATTCGCATTCGGTGAATGAGGGTTATAGTACAGGGGCCCCAGAAATGTTCCGAGACTTTCCGGTCGCATGTTGCATGTCGTGTCTGCTAAGTAAAGGGCAGTGCTCTGCTGCAGACAAGGCTCGGGCACGTGTCAAGCCGGAAGCTTACGAGCAAGCCAACGTGAAATGCCCCACTCTGAAGAAGGTGGGACAGGACTGCTGCTAGGCATGTCGTCATGTTCCAAGGCTGTCACTCTTCCGCTCTTTTCAGATGTTTTTGCAGGCAGTCATCGGACTGCTTGGCTGCATGCTCGCGTCAAGCGCTGGCTAGTAGCACAGGCGGTGTGGTGTGGGCCGGGCAGTATTGATGCTCAAGATGCTCGGTCGTTTCGTTGGTCAGGAAAAGGTGCTTCCTTTGCTGGCCATCGGTACCGGGCCGGGTGTTTGTCTGAGGCGCGTGAAGTTCGCTTCTATGTTACGGGACCTAAGTTGTGCAGTCATGCAGGGGAGTTGTAGAGCTGGTATCATGCACAAGGCAAGGTGGGCGCATGCAAGCAGTCAGCTAGCTTGGTCAAGTCCTCAGCCAACTCAAACGCTCTCTAGCTGATGCCATACCATGCAAATACATCCTTGCATCTTCACCTGATCTCCAGCTCAGTGCGGTACCTGGAAAGGAGTTCGAACATGTCTCTCATGATGTGGAGAGCCTGGATGGCCAAAAGCTGGACAACCGTTGTCCCGCCCATGCTTCTCGCCTGCAGACCGCTGCACCAAAGTCCTTGGTGCTCAAGTCATGATTGTCTGCTTCGTATTGTCGGGATCCCCAAGTGAGAAGACCTTACTTTTTGTTGGAAGAAACCGCATTATGCCACCAAATGGCCGCATGCAGAGCAGGCGGAGTCTAAGCATCAAGCATGGGCCGTCATTGGAGCAAAATGCGAACTTGCAGACAGCATCTGTGCCTTGGGATGGGCATCGTTTGCGGAATAGCTGGAGCGAGCTGAAGCGTTTCAGAAACTTTGCTGCTCCGAGCAGATGGTATGTTGCACCATACACCCCAGGACGAACCAGGACCCCTTAGAACTACCTCGGTGCATGTCTGTTTTGAGGAGTGGTTGTGCTGCTAGGAATGCTGCATTCGCAGTTGTACTGGCAATGAATGACCAAGAACAGCAGCGGGTTTGGCGGGGGTTCGGTTACAGTTATACTATACTATATTTGTGGCGCCAGCGGTTTTAGCATTGCTGGCGGTTCAGGCCATTGCTTGGCCAGTTGGCAAAGTCGAGATTGATTTCTGCTGAGCTATGATACCATGGCGAGTGCTGTGTCTACTGCCTATGCATACAGATGGAGTGGGCGATGGCATCTGAAGTGCGACATGTCCTCGTCCTTCGATTTCTCTCCGCGATCTTATATCCAGAGTCGTGGAGATTCTGCAAGCATTGCCGGACCTGGCCTAGGGCCTAGACAAGCTTGGCCTGAGGTGACCTTCACCATGCGCATCCGTGACAAGCTTGAGGCAGGTCTGACATCAGTTGGAGCATCGCAGAGCAAAGGGCCCGGAGTCTTGCTAAATGCTTGCCTGCAGCAAGGCAGATGGCTTGCAGTAGTGAGTGAACTGTCGAATAGACTATAAGTATACCAACAAACTTCTGTGCTCTGTGGCGTTCAAATACAGCCATGCATCCGCAGGGGTGCAAAACACCAAATCCTTGATACGATTACAAATGACCTTGGAAGTAAGTCTGAAATCTTGTTGGTGCGACACAAAGAAAGCAAGCTTGACGATTCTACATGACCTCTTGACTGTAGTTTTGCCTCGAGCGACATTTGTGCATTGTCTGCCCAAAGTGCATCTTCTTGCCATCCAGTTGTTGCAGGAGGGACCATTTGCCATAGAATAACCCTAACTCCTCATCCCTTTTGACCCCAATTCGTCCAATGGATCCAGAAGCCGGTGCGCAGCTCCCGATACAGCTTGACTCCCTAGCTCCGGAAGTCATAGGTCCCCATACATGCCTACACGAGTCGCTTGTGAAGGCTGTTGCTGGCGGGTGGGCTTCGGAGGGGAACCCATCGTCGTCGCCGTCGTAGTCGTAGTAGTTGTTGTAGTGTATGTAGCCGTTTACCTCTTGCAAATTATTATCACCCCGAAAAGAACAGGATACCCTTCAGTTTGTCTGGGAACCTGATCCAGCAGGACCTCCCGGATACCGAAATCCTCCGTATCTTTCGTCGTCACCTGGGCACCTTCGTGAGCCTGGCCACCTTGGAGCGGGCCGGCGGCCTAGTTGGATGCAGAGACCAGGGAGGCTGGCAAAAGCCCAAGCTATCGAAGCCTACTGCTCTTTTGCCATGCTTAAGCAGTGGCCACCCGAACATCGCACTCAGAATGAGGACTGCTTTTGGAAGAAGGTCGCAGTGGCAATCAATTGGGCTGTTTCGTGTCGGTACTCCTATTGCCCTAGTGTGGTAATCAGTGTTCCTTTGATCATTGCTGCTGCTGCTGCTGCTGCTGCTGCTGCTGCTGCTGCTGCTGCTGCTGCTGCTGCTGCTGCTGCTGCTGTTGTTGTTGTTGTTGTTGTTGTTGTTCTTGTCGTCGTCGTCGTCGT